CTATGGGAATGGCTAGTGATGCCACAAGGGCTTAGTAATGCCCCCTGTCACGTTCATTAGATGTGTATCAACTGTTGAGGCCAGTAATGAGAATTCGCACCGAGATATTTCGATGACGTCTTTATTCATAGTCGGCTATGATGGAAAGTTGGACGTTGAGGTTCACAGGTACCACGTCCGACAGGTTCTTACAATCATGCGAAAGCATCAATTGTATGAAACCTCAAGAAGTGTATATTTGCAGCAAGCGAAATACCACTTCGTGGGTGCATCGTTGGTAAGAACGGTGTACGTCCCGATCCCAATAAGATCAAGGCGATCACCGACTGGCCTGTGCCAGTTGATGTCAAAGGTCTTCGAAGTTCCATAGCTTGGTGGCGTACTTTGTACAAGTATCCACGCAATTACGCCGAGATGATCTTGTGCACCTCTCTCGCCTGTTGAAAAAGAACGAGAGGTGGTTATGGAACGCTGAATGTCAGCGCTCTTTTGATGGTATCAAGCAGAGCTTGATCAATCCTCAGTCCTAGCAATAGCCGATCAGGACAGGCCATTTCATGTGGTCTGTGATGCCAGCGATTTCGCATTCGGCTGTGCATTAACGCAGTACGATCTGGAAGGCGTTAGAACGCGTCACCCGCTATCAGTCGCGTCAGCTTCAACCAGCTGAGCGGAACTATCCTGTGCATGACAAGGCGAACTCCCTTGCCATGAAGTATGCACTCGCGAAATTCAGAGTCTATCCCTCTTAGGAGATAGACCCTTTCATTGCTTTATACCGACTATGCGTCATTACGCACGGCAGTGAACAGCTCCGCACCTTTCACAACGAATGGCGCGGTGGTTGTCATTCTTTGCAGAATACAACTTTACGGTCGAGTACAAACCAGGACGACTTAATGTCGTCGCTGATGCACTCACGTCAGCCCGACTTTGAACCAGTCGTGAAACCCAACAGTGGGACAGCAACTGTTGCGATTATGGCGTCCACAATACCATCTTCAACGTTGTATGATGATGTGAGGCGGGCGTATGCCCAAGATGGTGAGATTCTGAAGTTGTTGACACATCTCTCACAACCATCTCGAGAATCATTGAAACGATTGTCGCCTCGCGTATCGATCTGCATCAGATCGATACACTACTCGCGACGGTTTACTGTATTACACAGCCGTTACTGGTGACACACCACGTGTTGTCATTCCAGATGACACTGATTTGCGTTGGCGGGTCATGTTCTAGTATCACGAGGCTCCTATATGAGGACATCGTGGCCGGGAGAAAACAAATCTCACGGTGAGTCGAGATTTTTACTGGCCCCGCCGGTATCAGTTTGTGCGAAAGTACGTTCGCGCATGCGAAGTCTGTCAACGAGTGAAGTCAAGTCCTTCACGGCGTGCACCTTTACAGCATCTACCAGTTTCGGCTGAGTGCTGGGATTTCATCTCAATGGATTTCGTCTTCGGGTTACCCAAAGACGCACGCGGGAATACGGGTATTCTTGTATTTGTTGGCAAATTCAGCAAAATGGTACACCCTGTGGCTGTACCAGAGTCAATCACAGCAAGTGGCTGTGCTTGTGTCTTTATCGACACCATCTTCCGACTTCATGGGATGCCCCGTGAACTCGTATCAGATAGAGATCCACGCTTTACAGCTGATTTCTGGCGTTCCGTGTTCAAATCACTCAGAACGCGCTTGAAGATGTCGACATCTGATTATCCAGAGTCAGATGGTCAGACAGAACGAGCCAATCGTGTCCTCGGAAGAGATAATTCGAGGATACGTACACTCCTTTAAGAGTTGGAGTGAGTTCTTGCCCATGGCAGAGTTTGCCATTAACAACTCGGTGCATGCGTCCATGACTCCTACATAGTTTTACGTGATGGCTTACGCCATCCGCACGTATCCACCTTAATAGAGTGTAACTCTGGTTTAAGGGGGAAAGACTCGCGCGAGCAAAAACCGATTTGGTTCACGCTCATCACGCTCTGACGATGAGGTCATTGCGTTTGATGCCGATATCGGCAAGATCGATATCGAAGAAGATGATGCCAGTGAGAGTGCGGAAGCCCTCACTGAAAAGAAAATATTGATGTTGCTGCAGTGCACTCACAGCGCACTGAAGCTAACGAGTCATCAGGATGAGTTCATACTGGCTCGTGAAATGGGAGTCCGTTTTGAGCAAGACTCCATCGCCGAAGCGGTGGATAAGCAAAAGCAAAACGCTGACAAGAATGGAAGGGCAAACACTCTTTTACTTAATAAAGGTGACTTAGTCCTACTGTCTACGGTTAATCTACCAAAGCATGTAGTGACTAACTTGGGTAGCAGTAAACTACTACCCAAGTACATCGGTACATTTCGTGTATTGCACCGCCTAGGCAATGCATACACGATCGAGTTGCCACGTAAGATGCGAACGCATCCCACGTTTTACGTTGGTCGGCTTAAGCCGTACCATCAGTACGCTGCTTCTTCCGATGAAGAACGCCCTTGCGCTCAAGTATCTCGCAGAGAGCCTTGTGCTCCAGATGGTGGATATCAACAAGGGTATGAAGAGCAGTTATCTCATCCCGAGACCGATCAACAATCCCACGAGCTACCCTTATCTCGTTACACAGAGATGTCAAAGATCTCTCGTTCTCAAGCTGAGCAAAAGCAAACTCAGCTCGATGCTTCAAGACAGTTTCCGCCAGTTGAAGAGGCCTGTCCCGCTCATGCTCGAGGTCGCCGTGCAACGCAAGGGGTTACGCGATCAAAAGAAGCTCTCGGGAACACACGGATCCCCATGATCGTGTAGAGAGCGTCTTTCCTCCTCCTCCACCTCCATTAGAGGACTCTCGCGGTGGCCAGCGCTATCTGGTTAGAGCAGCTGTTGAACCACCGCGATGTGAACGGACGTCGGACGAGTTATCTCGTCCGGTGGCGCGGCTATCCCCCATCCTGGGATACTTGGGAGCCCCGCTCCCAACTGATGATCGACGTACTGGGTCTGGTTGAGCAGTACGACGCGGCATATCCTGTGCCACAGAAGGACCGCCGGAGGAAGTCTTCCCGGCACGGTCGTAAAGGGATTTCAGGTTGTCAATCCCTTCGTACATCTCAGTAGAGATACGTACGCGCCACCACGGGCTAGTAAGGAGGTAAGCCTCCTTAGGTGCTCGTGCAGAGTTGTTCACACAACATGGGCACGAGTCTCCCCAAGAGAGGCAGGGTAATCCTTTCTCCCTTGACAGACGATGCAGCTTGTAGCGTGCACCTGCCGGGGTTCTCTTCTCAAATAATCACGAGCTTTGATAAGTTTGTCGTTCCAAACGTCACGACCTACATCCTCAAGGTTATGGATGTAGGCGTTCCACGCTTGAAGTAGTGAGGGACCATCACGCTTGTGATTCCCACTGTACCATCGATGCTTTCTTTAATCATCGATGAAGAATTCATTCTCAGCGCGATAGTCTTTTGCGCTGGGGTCAAGGTGATGGATCCTTGACGAATCAAACAACCGTGTTCGATAGCGATCACTTGTCGTCGCCGACAAGTGATCCATGACGGATTTTGGGGGCATCCATGCCTTCTTCTCGGGAGCAAGACGCAACACGTTGCGGTCCCGCTCTTCCTGCGACGTGCCGACAGAAGGACTGGCACCTCGTTGCGAAGTGGTGTCCATAGGAGAACCGACACCACTGTGAGCGCCCGAGTCTTGCGACCTCGAGCGCCTACGCTTCGGCGATGGTTCATCTGATTCGTCAGACGAACCAAAGATGCTACGACGCATAGCATCATCCATGCCACGCTTGGCAGGCGGCTTGGATTCGATCGCCGTCGATACGGATCCGTCTTCCGTATCAGGAGAGTATGAGACACCGAGCTCATACTCTGTGAAGACATGAGTGTCTTCATGGCCAGCGCTTGCATCACCAAATGACACAGGCTGAGTCGCTTCAGCAACCGATGAGACGTCAGTTGCTGTGGTTTCTGCTTTGGCGTCCGCACAGAGACGTGCAGACGCACTCTCAGCGGCTTTGTTCGTGCATCGCTTGGGCTTGTTTTACCATGCGATGAAACTGATGGACTGTGGACTCGAACCGACAGGTGCAAACCATGTCCCAAATGATTTGGGACGAGTATCCATTCAGTCAATCAGTCACTAAAGTGATTGATGGTTAAGGGGGGGTGATGTAACGGGGTGAACCGTTACAGAACAATTTATAAGAATTTGTTAATAGAATATAACTGTAAGAGTTATATTCTCAGAATATTGTCATAAGGACAAATATTCTGTAGCACTTACAAGTAGTTCCTAATTGGTTGATATAGGCCATTATATCAACCAACGAAGACGCGCCACGACAGACGCACGCAATGAGTGGTGAGCAGATTGTCGATATGCACATTTGTATTCAGAAATAGTTAGATGAGGATAAATAGTGATTTATTAACAGACATTTTCTATGCTAAATACAGTTCTACTTTTTACGTTAACCAAGTAATCGCTTCTTCTTACCGTCTTCATCTGCACGTACGAGTGTACGTGAAGTTCCAAGGCACCGCCTCATTCTGTCATCAGAATAAGTAGCTTGTACTGTCACCAGTCCAAGCTTCAGGTTGCCCCGTTACAACCAGGGCCCGTAACAACGAGGGTGACGAGATGCAAGTCATCTTCTCCCTGTCCAATTTGACAGGACGAGCAAAGACTTGGGCCTGAGGGCTCAAGCTTCACGACCCAAAGGTTTTTGAGTCGTTGGAGATCTTGAAGTCTCGGCTTAAAAAGACGTTTGAGCAGCCAAGAGCCAAGTTTAGAGCACGATCTGCACTCCTGAGGTCGGAGAAAGGTAAGCGTGATGTGCACGCTTACGCACAACACCTACGCTACCTTGCGAGTAGCGTTACGGAGAACCCTGTTGATGAGCACACGCTCATCAACGTGTTCATCTACGGCCTTGTGGATGGGCCGGTGAAGACCTACATGTTCCGAGAGGACTTCCATACTCTAGAAAAGGCGATAGCGTATCCGACCATGTCTCTAAGCCTCGACGGCAAGTCGGTCCTTAAAAAATGGACAGGGTCATGAGGGGCGGAGCACCCTACTGATCCATCAACGTTAAGAGAATTTGCAGGACTCTTGACGAAGATTGTTCCCTACACACAGTCGCTGTGTGTTGCTGCCCCTAGTGATGAGGAGTCTCTCATCACTTTGAAGATCGAAGTGTCAAGTGGAATATCACTTCGCGCCCTAGTCGACTGTGGGTCGTCGAACAGTTTTATTCGACGCCAGTCGCTAGGGGTTAGTAGAATCAACTATGTTGAGCGAGAGTTCCCTCCAACGAGGATGACGGTGTGCATTTCTACAGGCGCACCCGTAAAAGTTAAAAAATGTATAGTGGGAATCGACTACACGCTTGAATGAAAGAAGTACGATGATGACTTTATCAGACTGGATTTAAATGACAAATTTGATGTCATCCTTGGTCTGCAATGGCTTAGAAAATACCAGTCATGGGTTAGCTTGTAGCATCGATCCGTGAAGATGCCTGCCGTTTATCCATCAGATGGCCATCTGATGATAGTCTTGGAGCGTCCACAAGCGTGTGGATGCACTACGAGTGAGTGCGATGGCCTCACGTGTGGCACCGTCGTTAGTAATACTGCACAAGATTATATTTCAGAAGACCACCAAAATGTGGAACCAGCTTCCGACGCCTGTATAGATACACAGGCTGCGCCGATAATTCACCACTCGAAAGGTCTAGTGGAATGGAACATGGATGCATACCAAGAAGGATGCATCAAGGAAGAGAGATTAGTGTTGTTCAGGATGAAAAACATGTTAAAGCGAGATTGTCGAAGAAGTCAATTGAAGAGCAAGCCCGGTCATCTGAAAGATAGTCGATCGAAGAGGAAGTGACTGTGGTAGTACACTCACAGTCAGTACACGTAATGTGAGAAAGTTTCAGCGTTTTAAAGAGTGATAACTTCCGAGAGAGTCTTGTTGAGGGTGTAGATCCCCAATCACCTGCGGATTTGTTTTCCAAAAAAAGCACCAAGACATTGAATGTCTTGGTGAATGACTGATCAAGTGTAGGCGCTTATACACTTGATCTGGTTACACCTCCGATGTCTGCTCCGGAGATAATCAAGTTGCCGACGCTAGAATCTAAACGATTCTTGCGAGATCTACATAGTTACAAGATCAAGCAGATCTGCTGACTTGTCACAGAGGACGGGTACGTCGCCAATATTCGTTTGGCACAAGTGTTCGCTGCGAACGAACGGGTTCTCAGTAGCTCATCGATGGACGAGAGTGTCCTCGATGAAAAGACCCGGATTGAGCGATACACGTCTCAATCATCAAAGTCTTAAGAGAAAATCTTTTGTATAAGGATACGGTTGAATTCTGCAATGTCTTCCCTGAATGTGGCCATGCGATGGCCCAAAGGACAAAAGTATCCTGGCATAAGATCGAACTAGAACCAGGCTCGAAGTACAGTGTCATGAAGCAGCCACTACCGCCCGTGAGCAAGTACTTGCGATCGACAGATTCTTTGCCGATCGCTTAGCGGCTGGTCATGTGGAGTGATCCAAGGAGACTCCATTTGGGGAGCGTGGCGCAGGACTTCGGTCCCTAGTATCTTTATTGGTGCCAGCATGAGCACTGGCACCAGTGTTAACTCGATCCCTTGAAAGACTTCGCTCGTGGTGATGTACAGGTGCATCACACCATCTTCCCCACGCGTCCTATCATTAGATAGACTCGCGTGAGGCGGAGATTAAACGGAATAATCACTCGATTCGAAGATCTCGGTCATGATACCGCCGCGTTGACCAGAGCCAGCCAACCTGGCTCTTGCAGTGTCCACCCGGGTAATCCGGAGGCGTGAGGTGCGCCTTCGAGTCGGATGATGCATCCGACTCGCCAGAATAGATGAGCTCTATTGCAGACTCGTCTTGATATCAACTCGAGGTACCCGCTTCTGATGCAATGGGTGTATCTGTCCCACGTGGTGACTTACCACGTGGACTGTTCACAGCAGCAGGCGAGGAATCACCTGCTAATGAGATGTGATAGGTATCTTTACCGGCTTGCGTGCAGCCGCCCTTCATGCTGCTGCAGTAGCAGCTCGCGTGGTTTTGGAAACTATGCGTTGGATTGGCAAAAGAAAGGAATTTGACCAACAAGTGCTCCCTTTACCAGAGTGATCCAACGGTGGCCACCCTGTCCCAATCAATTTTAATTTAATTAACGGGTGATTGATGATCAAGGGGGGGTTGATGTAATGGGGTAGCCCGTTACATGAATTTGACACCAAACATTGTCAGTTGGAATATTGTCTAGCATGACAACATCCTGCCAATATTATCCGAGGTGAATAATCTTGAAGGAATACTACCCCTTGTGAATAAAATTCATGCGCTGCTCCAATATTGGTTGATGAAAGACACATCAACCATCAATGGCCACCAATCGCTGCTGAACGCGCGCAATGAGTGGTGAGCAGGTTGTCGTCATACGACGGCGAAGTTTAATATAGTTGTAAAAAGATTAAAGTTAGATTGATAGCTAAACTATACTAGATACAGTTCATTTTTTACCTTTACTTGAACGAGTCGTTCAAGTAGTTTAGCTTCCTCTGCACGTACAAGTGTACGTGGAAGTTTCGTGGCACCCAAACAAAGGGTGCCCCATTACAGCTTTTGGGAATTATACACCGATGCGGAAGTTTGCCGTACTCAGTGGGGCCAAAGAAGCCGATGTTGAAATGTTTGATTGAAGCTATCGATTGGATAAAACCATAGGATGATATTAAAGCACGTACGAGGAGGTGAAAAAGGTCAATCGCCGATTTGTACCGGATCGATCTCCAACATTTCGATATTGGAAAAATGATCGGTCAGTTTCAACACTGACCATGGACATAAGGTTAATGAAGATACGGGATCATGTGGAATGTACTTGATGGAGGTCCCTAAAAGATGTCAAGAATTTTCAGACCGATGAACCAGCAAAAGCCGTCCGAATTGACGTCACAAAGTAGATTTGGACACATTCGGCAATTTGGGTCCTATATTAAGTACTTTGGCGCCAAGAATGGGTCCTTATGGCTATATTTAGGATTCGCGTATACTTGTTGTTCTAGGTACGATATCGGGAATACTGGCGCTATCATTGTAGTACAGGGCACGAAATTTCAACAAGTGGCAAGGGGGCGATTTAAGCTCAGTATGATATCGGTGTGAAGAGTAAATCATATCTAAGAATAGGCTTAGGGTAGGTTGGAAAGTAATTTGGCTGGTTAGTCAACACACTTGAACTTTACTTCTTCCACATACTCCACGCGTCCTCCTTTTTTTCCGGGTAAGATACATTTGGCTAACCGACTGCTCAAGGAACGCGTGCTCAAGAATATAGAAGACCGATCTTGGACTGTTGACCAAGAGCGACAAGAGCGATATCAGGGAACTTGGCCCAGGTCGATCAAGATCTCACACACTCATCTCACTGCTAGGGTGGCAGCAACACGGTAAGGGCTTTAGGTAACAAGAACGTTAGACGGCTTAAGTGGTCAGAAGGCTCGCGACTCATGTACCATATTTTTATGGCACAAGGGATCAAGGCTGATCGCGGCAACTCTAGGAGAGCGCCAACCCAGATCACGCGATCGAGTGGGAAATTTTTACCCGATCGACACCAATTTCTAAAACGGTCAAGTTTAGCTTCGATTCAAGTCCATTTAGAAAAGCGCAACCCGCCCTACCGACGGGTACACAAGGTGAGGAGGAAACAAGTGC